AAACATTACTTTAATTTTTATTATATTTATATTAATTTTGTAACTAAAGTTTGTTTTTTATATTTTTTTAGGTAACAGCCGACGGTAGTATGGATTGTCAAAATAATCCGGATGAACAAGAAGATGTAGTCACGCGTTTGCAGTTAGTAGAAACAATGGTCGCCCTTATGATACTTGAAAAAGGTAATACTAACATTTTTATTAGTTTTAATTTTACAATTTTAAATAATAATATTTTTACCAACAATAATTATTATTTTTACAGGTGGTACATTTGTTCTGAAAATGTTTACCATGTTTGAATGTAATACATTATGTCGAATGTATTTATTGTGTTGTGCTTTTGACTCGGTACAGATTAAAAAAACCGTTAACAAGTAAACAAGGAAATTCTGAGATTTATGTTGTTTGTCGAGGTTTTAAGGGATTGCAATGCATAGAACCTTTGATACATAAATTTTTCTCAACTTTTAATCGCAGTAAGTTTTGTTAAACATTGAGTTATTCAATTATTATTTAATTATATTTTATAACAATTATGTTTTATCATTTTAGCGCTGTCTTATAACTGTTTGTTTCCATTGAATGAGTTGCCAAAAGATTTCTTGTCATCCGTATATAAGTGTTCCAAATATTTTAGTGAATTACAAATGCAAATTATAGAGAATAACATAAAATGGTTTTTCCAAAAAAACCGAAAATGATATTAAATCATTAACAGAATTACAGAATTGTGTGGCTAACACATATATCAATAGATATGAAATAAAACCAATTGACCCTTCTCAAGAAATTGTTGGACAAAATAAACTTAGAGTATGATTTATAGTATTTAGTTTTTTTTTTTTTTTAGTTAACTTTCATTTGATATTTTACCTATTGTGCTTTGTCTTTTTGGAAATAAATTTCAAAATAAATAAATATTTTAATTTATAATTCAAACATTTAAAAAATGTATTATGATTAACACAAAATTATTTATTATTGAATAGGCCATTCAATTTGATCTACCGAAAGTTTCAATAACGAAGACAGATATGAATTGTTCATTTACCGAAAAAATGCGTCAAGTGGAATACATAGAATTAGATGAAGCTAAATTACTTCAAGATCAAGTGAATAGTTATAAGCAAACTCCATGGAAATATAATGATGAAGTTTCGTGGTTTACCGCAGAGGTCAGTAGAATTATGAAACTTATATTTAAATTTAATAGAACTATATAATTACATAATTTATATAATATTTGTATTGTTTAAAACTAAATGATAATTTGTTATTTTGTTTTGTTTTTTTTATAGGATGCTAAAATTGATTTGTTTAGTTTGAAAATGCAAATGGGTAAGCCTGTTTCTATAATTCGTAGCTCAAAATTTTGTGCGAATGAACTTATTGATTACAACAATCGAGCAAGATCATTATTTGCTGTTCCAACAGAAGACGCTGTAAAGCGTAGAGAGTAAGTTTTTAATTTTTGAACCTATATTAATGAAATTATATTTCAATATCAATTTTAATATTAATATTAACTAGTTAATATTTAATTTTGTTTCTCTTATGTATTACAGATATTTTCGGCTTCAAATTCCAAAACAAGCGGTCCATGGTCGATTGATTGTTTGTGATGTAACATCAATTTATGCCAATGATTGTATAAACAATAGTAGAAAACAGCTTGACTCTATGAGTTTAATTTTAGAATCATTGAAGAAACTTAAAGCTTTTGACAGTTTTTTGTTAATTGGATATCCATTACTTTCTCAAGTTAATGTTGGTGTTTTCTATGTGCTTGTTAATATATTTCTTAAGGTATTTAAATTTTATACACTAAAACTTTTAAATTATCTATTGCTATTTTTTCAATGTAATTTGTATTAAATTTTAATTTTAATTTTCTTTCAGACCGGAGTTATCAAACCTGTTGAAATAGGTCATGCTTTTGTGTTTTGCTCAAAAATGAATGGTAAAAGTATAGATGATTTAATGTCCGTTTTATATAATGTACAAGAACATATCAAGGATCTTAATATTACAGAAATTATGGAAAATCAAGGCCAATCCTTACTTTCCTTCTTTCCGATTGATAAACTTATGTGTAAGTTTTTATTTTTTATTTTGGATAAAACTAATTCATTGAACATTTATTATTTTAAAGCTATAACTAAAATGTTATTTTATGTTTCAGATGAATCCATTTATAAAGACATTGTTGCTGTTAATTGTTTGGTTATTATCAATGACGTGAAAAAAACTATTTCTTCTTACTTGCAACAAAATTTACTATGAATATTATTTTTTTTTTTTTTTATTAACAAAATGTTATTATTTTTTACTTGTTTATTTATTTTTCTTATTGTTTTTTGTATTCATATTTTATTAATTATTATTGTTCCATTTGTAAAAAATTTCAACTTACTCAAATTTAAACTTTTTATTGTGTTAAACTCTTGAAAAAAATTATATTGTTAAAGATTGAAATTATTACTTTATGCATAAGCAATTTGTTTATATATATATATATATCATTTTTTGTTATTTCTTTTTAAATTATTTGTCGTATTTCTATAAATTTTACGAACTTTTTTTTTTATGTTAAGTGATTATAATGTGATGTACTACAATAGCTTTTTTATAAATCTGTTACTATTTATTTTGTTAAATATAACATATTCATATGAATGTATACAACTATATATTGTGATATGTTTCGCTAACCTACCGCGCGTTCTCCGTTGTGCGTTAGTACTATGTTAGTTATAATATTAGTAGTTTACGTAAATAAAAGCACGCGTAGGACCCGCGAGCTTCGATCCGCCGACATAACCACATATTATTACGTAACAACTAAAACGCAACAAACTTAAACTTAAACGAAACTAGGTCATCGGTTCCAAACCTGAGGTACGTGAGATGATCACAAGGGATACATGAAAAAAAATTGAGTAATGGCAAAAAAAATTGAATTTGTTTTATTTAAATCGATTTATATTGGAAATATGCTATATACGAGTATATCATTAAAAACTAAATAGCAGTAAATAACCATTAACTTATAGGTCATATAGAAATAGAATAAGAAAAAAAAAAAGTATATAAGTATAGAATGTAGATTGTAGAATACTATACGTATACTATACATATGCTATTAAGTATAGTAATAAACTGAACGCAGCTTCAGATTTAAAATTTGAACCTGATTATAAAAAACTATTAATTTTGAAATAACCAAAGAGTTCTTTCTAAATTTTTACATTACGATTCTTTTATTTATTATATAAAAAAAAATAGTTAATATCTTTTCAGTGAGTCTTATTATAAAATATAAAAATATACATTATTACATTATATTGTTATTTTTGTGTTTAAGCATTTTTAGAGTATTTTTGTGAAAAAAGATTAAAAGGTGTAATAAGGGTTACAATCTAGTAAAATTTTAAGCTTAAGGGTACGGAAGAAAAAAAGGTTGAAAACCGCTGCTATAATAAAAGCTTGACATTTATATGAAATCATTGTTTTCAATATTAAATAAACAAAATTTAAGATTTATCTATGAGATGGTAAATCTATATTGCTGCGTCATTACATTTTATAATCAGTGCATAGCCAGAGGGGTTTTACTTCAAAGAGGGTACTTACACTCAGCGGTGTAGTGAAGGGTACAAGGGGGTACACGACGTGTACCCACTTCCATTTTTTCAGAATATGCGTGTACCCAATAACAAAAACCCAAGTCCGTGGGTTCATGGTCGTGTACAAGTGTATAACCACTCTTTAGTTTCTTTATTTATTTTAAAAATATATTAACATTTGTCATTCTACAATTTTACACTGGTGTTTTATGTTAACTGCATTGTATTATCTTCATTAATTCGTCCTGTATTAATTGTCATTTGAAAATTATTTTGCAATAAGTGCAATAATTATGCAATATTTTATAATTTATAGTTGCTATAAATAAAAATTAAAATTTTAATTGTAATGTGTATGACATGGCTGTAACATTTTATCAAGCACAACATTTAAACTACCTAAACCATAATAGAGCACTGAGTTAAATTACATTAAAAATAAATAATATTGGGGGTGAAGCCCCCCACATCATATTTTTACTGTGGAAATTGTATTTTTGACAGAATTTGGCGTATAATCACTTACAGTTTTAGCACTACATCACTGTTTACACTCCCTTCCTCCTTTTGCTTATATTTTTTTATGTCAACAAATTCTTATGACCTTCTAATTAAATTATATCAGGAATATTTTAATATTGCGTTGTTTAAATTAATTAAAATAATACAATTTATTTAATAAGCAAATGAAAAAAAAAATTATTTTGTCTTTATTATATTTTTCTTTCTTATCTCTAATTTTGTATTTTGAATGATCCAACCAAACCCAATGTGAGGGTAAATCAATTTTTTAATCTGAAATTTTGCTACATTGTATTCATTCTCACAACATATTAAATAAATAATTAATTATATGTGACTTACCAGAAAATATTAAAAAATAAAAAGACTAAATAGAGAAAACTAAATAATTAACTAAATAAGAAAATAAGAGAAAATGACTTTAATCTGGAAGTACAGTTTATGCATGTTTAAAATATACGAGTATAAGATGAGAAAAGTGGGAAAGATGGAAGATGTATGAAAATTGGTGATGGTTATTTAACACTAAATAGTTTAAAAAAAACATTAAGAGGTAATTTTAGAGCTTATCCAAGAAATTTAACAAATTTCATTTTCAATTCTTTTTAAAAATTTAGATTATGTAGTAAATAATATTATTTATTATGATAATATATTATACTATAAAACTGGTAAAATTAATAAATAAGATAGGGATTTATTTTATTAAATATACAAATGTATAAATAACCTTGATAAACTAAATTAAATAATAATACTTAACAGAAAAATTATATACATTTGTAAAAAAAAAATGTTATACATTTTTTAAGCTTGATTATAAAAAATATTCTTATTGATTGTCTCTCTCAAAAAAAATGAACTATATACTGCTTATATTTTAATTTTATTAATTACAAGGATGTTGTATGGATGTAGGTATATGAGGTAAGGAGAGTTGTAATAATAATATATTATGTTCAAATTTATAATATCCATACCAACAAGTACATGTTAACCAGTCAGATTTCTAAATGTCTTATCATATTTAAATCAAATTAAAGAGTAATTGAAAAGCAAAGTATCATCACAAAAAAGTGAAATTATTCTTTGCATACTTGTGTTTAGATTATTGTTATCAACTAACAATGATAACGTTATACCTAAAATAATTATTATTATTATTAACTCATTTGAAGTTCATTTAAATACATTGTTGCTTTCACTGTACAGCCCCATACTTTTTTATCCAATACTAGCCTTTTTCTATCCCTGATTCTTTGGAGCTTCGAATCATCTTTGATACAGTTTTATACCTAAAATAAATAAATTAAAAATTAAAAATGCAAAATAATACAAGTGAATAAATAATAATTAAATTATATGATTGAGTTTTATAAAATTACAAATTTATTTTTAAATTGAATATTATCATCAATCTTTTTTTTCTACATTATTAAGTTGGTCTTTGATTGCTATAGGAAAAATATTCATATCCAAACTATTACTTTGATTTAGAAAAAACTGTTGAAACACAATTATATTCATATGACTTAGAAATTAGTGCTTAAGCATTTTTATTTGTATTTTTTACATTTATTTGTATCATAGAACTAATGGAGTACTAAAATGTGTTGAAAAAGTTAAGACAAATTTTTGAAAATCTAAAAACAGAACAAAGATATAAAATAATTATAAATTATTAATAAAATTAGTATACTGATGATAATACTATTTTAAGATATAAAATATTTTTTTTTTTTAAATAGGTATCTAACTAACTGCATATTACATTATATTTACACCATGAAATTGATACATTTTATTAAAAATGTTAATGATGATACATCTATATATTTGTTTCTGTTATGTAGATGAAAACATGATAAAAGATTTAAATAATATGGATAGATTCCTATCTATGTAAATAGTAACTTATCTTAAAATAGATTACCTTTATACTACCTACCTACCTAGATTAATCAAATTTTTTGTCAAAATTATTATTATACATACAATGTGTATTTATACATGAATTTTCAACAATAATTATATAATGAAATTAATATATAATAACAAATATTTATAATATTAAAATAAATATTAATGAATTGTATACACCTACTTACAATATATATACAACAGACATAAAAATCTAATGACTAATCAGTAGTCAAATATCTAAATAAATCACAAAAAATAATATTATTATAAGTTACATGTTTAAATTAAATATAATAAATTATATTGAATTACATTGGATGTTTATTGGCATATCAAAGTTATAACAGTGATACGTGCCACCGGCTCGATTTCAAATTGTACAGTCGAAGATGTATTTAATTTTAATTAATTAGACATTAACTTTTTAATACTTTCAATACGTCATTTTATAATTCAATGTATTTAAAAAAATTCTGATACTGAGTGATGTGACGTTGCTTTTAGTTCCGTAACTAGAACTCATCTGATTTGTGTTTGTTTTCATCATCCTTTTATATTGCTCCATTGATATCATAGGATTTGTTGTTTTGGTAATATCCAGCGATAGGCCTTGTTCGTTTGACCTAATTCATTATTCTAGAAATATGGATTAACATTTTATTACATCTTTTAAATATTACTCGGTTTATGACCAATTAGTTAAATATAAAGATATACTGTCTTACGCAATACATATAATATTGTGTTACACATCTTTTTCTATTTATACATGGTTAGGCTTTACATGGTAGCTCATAACAACAGAATCAGTGAATATTTTGTATCGATTGTACTGGTTACCAATGAAAATACTGATTTAAAAAAAAAAAAAAAGTGACTCTTATAGATTATAGGGTGCAAAATTAAATTCGTTATGTTTCAATTAACATTATTCAAATTTATCCAATTTTTTTTCTAAACATCTTATCAAATTAATGTATAACCACATATTACATACTATCATATTATTCAGAAATATAACATGTACCACTTGGTCATATACACATTGTCATGTATTACGATTTTAGTACTATAGCAAACACCTGCTAATCATACAAGTTAGTTGAGATCGGGCACCAATCATTACAATCTTCGTGATATTTGTTGCAATTGTAACGGTATTTATAAAAAAAAAATAAATATATTATTTTTTACTAACCAAGATTGCTTGTAAATCGTAATAACGATTGTAATAAATGTCAGAATACACAAAACTGTTGACTAACCGATGACAGACAACGCAAACCAATAAGTAATAACAAGAACAACATATCATAGTTGGCGATCACAGAATAGTGAATACCATAGTCGAAATCTACCGAATCCCTAAAATGATAAATATATTGTTATTATAATTGATATAATAATATTGTATAATCGACGTGCGGGAACAATTAATATTGTTTCATTCGTATTGTGTATGGTTTTCATCGTCAGTATTTATAAACGGTTTGGACCACTATTTATTACATAGAAAATAAAGAATGATTATTGTTATGTTTATTATCTAAGCGAGCAGTCTGACATTTTTCATGCGATGATCCATTCGTCAATATTTACCTTATCCTCGACCACCGGTTATACACAATATTATCACAGAACAATATGATAATGATATTATCATACGAGTATAACATTATCTATTGACCTTGGATTATAGCCATGGTCTTAACTCTAATTTCATAGTCACCATCACGATCAAGAAGTTAACTTCTAAAACCGTGGTTATCATTTAACATTATGGTAAATCAGATAAAATAATCTGTGGTAACAGTAACGATAACAACATTGTTAAGATGATAGAAAATAGAGTCAACGGAGTTAAGTCTTCTTATTGAAAACGTCAAACATTTTTGTTCAACTTAATCACATCAATGGTAAATTAACGTTAAGGTTTCTCTCAAATTTAGTTTATAATTTAATGTGCATTTTATTTCAAGGCGAGCATTGTAGTTGTTGGACTGGGATTGGCTGCGGCTGGGTTTGCTGGTCGACAAGTTTTGCGAGTTGCTCCACAAGTTGCCCAAAAAATGAGTGAAGTACTAAAAACAATGTCATCTGAATCAGGAATCTTGGTAAACTTAATTTAAACCACATTAAAAATATATTTTAACTTAATATTTGGCCCAAATATTGTTCGCTACAATTTGATTCCAACATTTTTAGTCGAATAGTAAATATCATAAAGGTGGATTTGAACCTACTATGTCCAAACGAGAAGCCATGCTTATTCTTGATGTTTCAAACAACGCGACAAAAAATAAGATTAAGGTAATTAAGTATATTATAATTGATTAGTCATTAGCGATTTTAACTAGTAATTAGTTTAAAAAATACTTGTTTTGTATGTTTGATTTTAGTCATCATATATTGTATATAGACTTATTATTCTAAAACTTACAATTAGGCACTTCTTATTAGAAGTACCGATATAACTATTTCAATCAAATCTATTCAATTATTTTTTATTTTTAATAATTTCAATTTTTTTTTTTTTTTTAGTATGTAAGTTTTTCCTTGATAATATTTTATATTTTTTGTAATTACAAATTATATCCCTCATCAGTTAAAACTCTTGAGGTAGATCTTACTCTTATGAATAAATTTTCTAAATCCTAAACATTTAAAATCTAGTTCTTAAAATATAATGCATAGTTCAAGAACCTCTGTAAAATTAGACACTAGTATCCTATTGATGATTAAACAAATTTACTAAATTGTAAATATAAAATTTGTTTACTCATTATGAAATTTCAAAATCTATCCATTTATTCATTATGTAATATTCATTGAAATATATTATTATACATATATTTGTTTTTATTGATATGCAATTGGCATATTCTTGATTATTGAAATCAATTGTAGGACTATGGGGGAAAACAATAATCATGAATAAAAGAAATAAATCTGATAATTATATCATCTTGCCATTTGTTTCGAATCGAATTGATATGTGAATTGAGTTAGGTGAAAAAATTACAATCAGTATACCCACGATGATGAAAATTAGATAAGATTACTGACATTTTGAAACAGTCAATAATTATGTTGATAATTTTGGTTTTGCCCCTAGCTTTATATTTATTCAACATTAGTCTTAATATTTTATAAATATCTATCATTAGCTACTGAATGAGCTACACAAATATTTTTTTTTTCAATGACTCCTAATATGCTAATAATTACACTGTATATTTATCACTATTTGTCTGTCTGAGGAACAGTGCAACCAATAATTAACATCTAGTATCTTCCTAAATTTTTAAATTAAAATTTTTTTTATTTACAATTATTTTTCAAAACTTACAAATTCAAAATAGACTCATTATTCTCTAGCAATTATTATTTTTTTTTTTTTAACTTTAATTCTTAAAAACTTTTGTTCAATTATTTTAAAAATATTTAAAGTCTTAATAATGAAAATGTAATATATTTATTAATCTAATACATTTAATGTAACACATTATTTGAATTATGATAATTTCACAAATAATAATTAATTATAATTTTTAGTCATATCATAGTTGATTATAGCTTATAACTTTAATATGAAATATTGCTAATCAATTATGGAATGTATATATTATGAAGTACAACTGTATTTATTCTTGACACTACACCTGAAAATAAAATACCCTTATTTTTCTTAAACTATAAATAATGGCTCTTGTACAGGGTTCTCAAACGTTTCAATTATTATTTCTGTTCCAAAAATAGGTTATTATTACATTTTGGGTGGAATGTGAAAAACTAGAATAACAAAGAAATTAAATTACATTTGGACTATTTAGACCCTTTGATACTTGTAGAAAATATTTTCTTAATCTGCTATCATATAACTTTATAGTTAAAATATTTTATTCATTTTTTATTTATTGATAATACCGGTAATTATTTTCTTTTATTACTTAATCGCGTGAAATAGTTCATAGTTGTGACATTCATTTTGTAATTATATTATATGTTTTCACGTACATAGTTTTGTTTTAGAAGCACGTATGCTAATTCCCACTATAATTATACTGTAGTATAATAGTTCAACGTGCTTGTATGTGAATATGTATTTTTGGTATTTGCAGGATGCTCACAAACGAATCATGTTGATCAATCACCCGGATAAAGGTGGTTCGCCGTACATTGCAGCCAAGATAAACGAGGCTAAAGATCTTATGGATAAAAAATAAATGTCTACCTGTTGATTTTCATCAGTGTGTTAACTTGAATTATAGTGTAAATATGAATGTACAAAGTCATATTAGAAATATAATGACATTTACGATAAATATGATTTTATCGTAGATATTTAAATAATCATACATCCGTGATTTTAAATTTTCTACATTCCTATTAAATTGAACACGTTCCAAATAAATATTTTTAAAAACCTAAGCAATATAAATATATATTTTGTACTTGAAAAATAATAATATACAATTAATAACAGAAATAAAACTTATAGTGGTTCCTTTTAAACAACGTTATTTTTTCACTATCTTGTGATCTTTTAACAATTTTTTCCTAAACAATCCATAATCGTGTTGCATTAGTTCATAAGCTGTCTGCCGTAATTTCTCTACGCGGGATATTATCTTTTTCGGCCCTCTGTTCTTGGTCTCTTCTAATCGGCGCAACTGGTGTCCCGTCAGTCCTTCTACGTCACCAGCGCACTCTATTATAGCATCGTAGTCTTCATTGATTTTCGACGATTCGCTGGAAATTTCAAAACGTAATATTAACATTACTACATGGATGATAATTGAAATTCAACACGGTGACAAAAAAGCGGCAGGTTATCGATACATACTTTTCGATTTTCTTGTGGTGCACGTAGCGCAAAAGACGGTCACACATCTTCCACAACTCCAAAATATCCGCAGAATCCAATTTGCACAAGTGCAAATAATCTTCGAACATTTTTAGTGCAGTCTGATTGGCTAACACATTTTTTAAACTGTTCGTCCATCGGTCCAAGTCGTCTTTAGACACGGAATTACAGGGATCTCCACACGGAACGCAACTCATTATGACACTGTTTATGGTACAATTATCTAGAAAAAACATCATAATGAACAAATTAATTACAAAATAGAAATACTTAAAACTTGTATAATTAATATAAAAGTAGAGTTAAAAAAAGAGTTAATTTAATTTTTATACTACTGATATTCACTTAAATAACCTTGGACCTTTCAGTTTATGTAAATATATGATTATAAAAGGACAAACAAACAATTGTTTTTAATTTTTGGAAACGGTTTAGAAGTTATTTTTTTTAACAAATCCGTATGATGTATCTAAGTTATAATACGTCGGTATAATTTAAAACTGGTTTATCTTTATTTACTAATAGGAAAACATTTATAAAATGTTTTATTTCATAAAATTTAAATTTAAAACTATTACACCTAATTAAGTTTTATAATTGGCATAATTTAAAATCTATAATTTTATTTACATAATCGGTTTACATTATAACATTAAATAATAATATTTAGTGCACTTTGGATGATCGGTTACCGCTAACACGTTAAAATAGCCATTAGTTATATTTATTACTTTATTTATGAAGTTAATTTCTGCTAAACCCTTTGAAATTATTGCAGCAAATAAATTATTTATAATCTTAAAATTGATTATTAATTAATTAAACTATCATTGATTTTAAAAATAATTAACAAATCAATACATTTTTTAATAAATAAATGAAAATGCGTACTACAAAAATAAAATCACGCATTTTGTACTTAGATTAAACTATAAAATCAATTCACTGCAAGTACTAGTGTACTGTAAAATACATATTTATACTTGAACATATTAGTTTTAGAATCTAGTTTGTGTAACATAATTATGTGAAGTGATACAATAACACGAATTTCATTTATTTTTTCTTCAGTATATGTTAATTTCTAAAGAGTTAAGATAATTTCAAAATATAACCGATTACTAATATGTCAAGCAAAAACTACCCAATTTTTTAATCAAAAAATGTTTGTTCACTCTCGTTTTTACCTATTAAATATAAGCTATGCATAATCTTCATTAATTACAGTCTTATCGACGATGGCACATTTTTGGTTTTTTGATGTAGAACAAAATAAGACGCCGGTTTTTGTCTCAGCACGCCTCCATAAAAATTTGTCATAGCCAAATCGCCATATCCTGCCTATAAAATACAATGTTATCGGACGTTTTTCATCTTTTGGGTGATAAGACCTACTCAGGTGCTCTTACAGATGCCAGACACATGTGCACATTAACTATTTTTTTTTTTGTAAACTATGTTATAATTTGTTGTTCGTAATAATAGCAACTACGAAAAACAACGTGTTGTACACCTGGTGTCCAATAAACTCAGCAGTGGAATTAGAATAAAAGGCGTCTTTTGAATCATTACAAATTCGAATCGTAAGAAACACGAGGGTCATGGATACGTCTTACCAAAAAAATAATAATAATTGTGTTGGTAACGTTTCATTCATTTGTATTCATAATGCAGATATAAAAAGTTTTATCGTCGACCTATCATATCCATAAACAAATAAATGTATAACGCCGTGTACACGGTTAATAATACCAGTTTTAGTTGCGGACAGTGAACAGCCATTCTGTGACAGTCCTAAATAGAGACGCAGTACGGAACAATATGTACATACGGAACATAAAGGCATAAAGCGTAATGTATTATAAGAGTTGGGCCCGCGTGCAATAAGTACAATAAGTATAGACATCTGCAATTCTAACGGCGTACACAATTTGTACGTAACATTTTTCGAACCACTGTGTTTATTGTAATTAGGCATTGTTCGAACGTCGTTGCTCTGATTTCGGCTGTGTTACCTTTTTTTTTCGCCCAGTCATTTCTGAACGTCTGCGGAAAAGTGAATGTGCGCAAGTCGTACAGGTATAATAGCAACGGCAGACGTAACGCAGTAGTAACAGCACTGCCTCTACGTTATATCGTCACGCACCGGTAGTGCGTAATAATATACCCGTCGCCGGCGGCGTTGCGGAAAACCGAACGATTATTTTCGTAGAGGAATCCCGAACAAACCGTATTTTATCGACGTGTTCGCGGCACATGTGCATTGTCCGTGTACGTCTACGTCGCACCACATTCTATTCGACGGTTTATTATGTACAAAGATAAACGAAAATGTGACTCTAAGAGAAAAAATAATAATAATAAACAATGAAAAATTGATGGACACCAAGACGTTGCGTTGTGTGTGTGTGTGTGTGTGTGTGTTATGGTCACGTTTTTCATTCCAGGATCGTTCGGAACGGCGCGATGCACGACGACGATGAAATAATATCACGTAGTCTTTCCGTTTTCGTGTGTTACGAATTACTAACGCGCTCGAGGAGGTGCTATGACACTCGTTTGTAGCCGAAACAATAACTGGGCCAGCAGCAACAGCACCGAAATTACACAAAGCCAATATTTGAGTAGTACCGACCTTAGGTTGTACGAGAGCACGTTATTATTACACGCAACGACATAGAATACAACTCGCAAGCCCTCGCACGGTACGAGTATTACGGAGAATTAATGGTACCTGCGATATTCCTTTGGTCGGAAATCGTTCCGTTTTCAAGACCTTCGCAGCAAAAACAACCAGAGAACTGTGCCACGGTGTAGAATGATCCATATAACAGTACTGTGGACGCCGAGCACGGGTATCATCATCGTTTAAATTTATTCGGGTTATTTATAATTGTTTGATAAAAAGATCAATTATGATGCGACAACATTGATTTATCAATCATGGTTATGGGATTGAAGTTTTAGGCCATGGAAATACTAAGCAATAACACTAAGTACTTAGCAATCACTCCACCATATATCAAATTTGAATGAAGTACAAAAACAATATTTTTCGCCGTAAATTGTATACTACGAATTAAATAGGTCATATGTAGAAAAGTGTTTAGTTTTATAAAGTTTACTCTATAGCTGATAAAATATGCTCGCTAATTCAATAGTTCAAAGCATGTATTATTCAATAACAAATATTTTATTTACAAAACGAAGTACAGGAATTATTAATATTGAAATTAAAGTTTTTCGTACATGTTTTTTTTTATTTTTATTACTATTTCAAAAAACTAACGCACGGTCGTATCAATCGATCACAGTATTTCCTTATACAAGTATCATTTTTAATTTTAATATCATTTTTAACTACATATGTATAGTAAAAAGTTAGTAAAATTTAATAAATAATAAAGAAATATGTATAAAATAAAAAATATTTTTTGCTACTTTTTTTTTTTTTTGTCAACCAGTATAAAATTATGAAAATATAATTTTTAATTTAAATTTTCAACAAAGTCGACCTATCTGTATCTTTGTATGTATAAGATATTTGCATCTTCATCAATACGAAATTATGAACTTAATTTGAAAGCAAATATGCAAGTATGCAATTGAATAAAATCTCAGTGAAGGTGCCACAAACAGGGGAAACAAGTCGAATATAGTACTTCCCCCTCTCGTATCTCTTCCAGCTTACTCTTGATAATAGAAATAATTATAAAATGACGTATGTAACAACAAATACAGGCATTCAGTAAATCACAAAACTGTCGACCTTAAAATAACCACTGTTGGAACTGTATACGCTAATAATAGCCAAATATCGCAACTCCTTAAAGTTGCCCAACTGCCAGAAATCTTTGGTAGCTGTCAAATAAGTTGATTTCAAATTTTTCGCATTTACAAAAAAAAACATTAATTCAATTCCACGAGAAAAAATTTTAATTTCTTAAGTCTATGTCTTTTATAGTAATCTAGGATTAAATATAATAATCATTAAAAGAATCATTTTGTTTTTTATTGAGAATAAAGCACATAAAAAAGACATTGTGCTAAAAAAAAATTATACGATAAAATACGTCTATATTAATATTATTATTAATATTAATTACCATTAATTACTAAATAAGTAGAACATATTTTCTTTAACTAATAATAATTATTTTTGGGTCACATATTACCATTGATTATAAATACTAGTATTTATAATCAATGATATTATATATAAAATTTTTTAATATTTATATGTCAGATAGCTATTATCATACTATATCATTTAAATTTATATCAACTAAAAACAATACTACAATTAACATATATTTTAAATTTCTATATATTATTGTAATTACATATCAGTTGTACATACTAATTTTAATTCAAAGAGAACTAGTGATAAAAATCAGTATGTATTTAACACATTTGCTAAAGTAAATAGTGTTAATGTTGAAATCAGTTGAATGAAAAACCCGAAAACTTTTTAGATCCATTGTACAATATATAGAGGTTTTAGTATTATAATATACATAAACTGTTAAGATATATCAACACACAAGTCTACGGAATTCTTATTAATGATATATTACAATGTACCTAACTGTTTAGTTAGAAATATCCCAATTGACAGTAATCAAAAAAATTGATTCACGAAGTAAAACAAATAAAATCAGTAAATTTACAGTTTATAGCACAAAAATTAGTTATTTTGGTATTTATTATTATTTATTATTAGTTATTTAGTATTTAGACTATTTAGGTATTTATTTATTTCATGCAGCATATCTAAAAAGTATTCAGTTTTCCAGATGAATATTTCTCAATTCAATACCTTAAAGCAGAGGCGGCCAAACTTTTTTCGGCCACGATCTACTAAAAATATACTTCACCTTTGAAGATCGACTTTCTTGGAAAATTTTTTTTATTATTAAATAATTATAATTATTAAGAAACATACTTGCTTAAAGTGTATATAAACATACATAAAATATTATAAACTAATTACTAATTACTAAAAATATACAGATAATACTTATCGATATTATTTGTTCATAACCGCCACGATTAATTTTCGTTCACGTGGCCTAAAAATAAATTCTAACATGATCGACTCTGAAATCGTCCGCGATCGACCGTTTGCCCGCCCTTGCCTTACAGGAATACTGACTATTGTTGCTATCAAAGGGAATTGATTATAGATAGTAGGTAGTAATTGTCGTTTCCGGAAGAAATATAGGTAGTATTGTAGTGAATAGTGATAAACCCAGTTGGTTAGAATCGAGTCAAGTCGAAAGGCAAAGACGAACCTATTAGCAGTGATGAAAACCAGTGGCGTCGAACCCTATGCTTAGGTTAGGAAATCACTCGATTGTTCCCATCACTATCTGTTACTGTGGGGAATAGTAGGTACAACGCAAAAACAATGACCACGTATCGTGTACGACTGCAGACAAAAATATTGACATATATTTGTGTGCGTATATGTTTACTCACCGTTTTCTCCATCGTTTATCGAGCACACAAAGACGACCAAATCCGGACCGCGGTACAGTTTACGCGTGGCAATCGTCGCACGTTAACGGTCATTGCGCGACATCGGCGAACCCGGACCGCCCGGGGAATTAAGTGAGCACAGTGTTTGATAGATATCCGCGACGATCGTCGGAAAATCGTACGGTGCAGTGCGCGAACGTGCTACGGCCGACTGTAATCGATCGGCAAAACGCACTACAGAAGCCGCCTTCTAGAAGACTACGACGACGGAGACGCACAACGCGGACGGACGACCGACACACTCAGCAGGTAAACAAGCACTGGGCTCGGCGCTCGCCAAAATCAACGCAAACGGCGTACCATAGATATCAGAATAGACGCGAGACGTGCGAAGCCCTCTCACGACAAACACATGGCCGCATTGAAAGTGAACGAGAAAAAAATGAAAATAAAATAACCACCGGAGGGATACGCGCACCCGTGCCGAAACAGCTGCTGCTCGCCCGATCGATAGCTAATGACGAGTACGCTATACGACGACCAGGACGACGATGGCTACTAACATTTTATTTTATTTAACAATAGGTATACTTTTACCGGTGCGTAAGCGATTGAAAACAATTTTAATTAACGTGGTGGTGCAAGATGGTGAGCTCTGGCTGATTGGGACAGGGGCGACGACGTAGTGAGTATATGATTTCTAACTTAAAAAACCGTTACAATCAATATAGAGTTTAAAATTAAGATTACAGAAGCAAGCCAGTGAAAAGTTATTGACAACTAATGCCTTAAGTTTTTTCATTTATAATACCGTTATACAGACGTATTTTTTATTATGATTATCTACTTATAATCATTATTTTGGATTGGTTAAAATATTTCAAATATTTTTCATCTCTCGCACTCTGTTCAAAGCAATCTATAAATCGTAGAAAATAATATTGATTTAAATTAATAATTAAATAAAAAGATAACGTTTTTTTTAAAATTAAGAAAACTTAATGATCTGATTTATTTTTATTTTATTGACAATAAAAACTCGAATCATAATTTATTATAATTGCTTCAGTAGCGTTTAAGAATAATCAGTTTTATTCTTCTCAATAAATCACAACGTTTGAGTTTCATAGTTCATACACAATATATGTATTATAAATATTAATCATATTATTTCTTACATCAAGTAGTTGAGTATAATATGATTTTACCGTTAAGTTCTCGAAATAAAAATAAAACAATATTTTAAAATTGCAATGGTAATGTCCTTCGCATTAATTTATAGTCTACATAGTAATACGAATACTACATGACTATTTATTACCGATGCTAAGAACTAAATAAACTAAAATATGTATAAACATATAAAAATAACCAATGGATTTTGTCTTGGACCCATATCTTTTCCAACTACTAATGACAAAAGTTATCGGATGGAAGAAAATAATTATAACAAAATAAATATATCAAATTCTGTGGACAACAAAAAAAATAACTGAAGGGTGTTATTGTCATTCGTTGTATCATTATGGTAAATATAATTTTCTATGCTCCTATATTAATTGTAACTCATATAATCTTAATGATTTATTATGACTAGTCGACTGGACCTGACTGCATTACACTAGGAACTCGGTAACAACAGCCAGCTATTTATAGAACACCATGGCATAATGTACTAATATCCAATTGCATGTGTTAGAATAATCCGTATGATATGAAAACTCATTGCATAGACTATATACCTATAAAATTTAATGTTCATAATATTTAATTATAAGTATTATCTTGATGAGGTTTACTCGAGAACTCGAAGATCTTTTACAATAAAGTCTATACATTACAAAATATATTAAAGTATATTTAATATGCATACAATATATACAATAAACTATTATAATATTATTACACTATAAACATATCACAAATTAGACATTTAATTCATTTTTATATTTTTGAGTAATAACCTTTTAGGTTAAAAATATTATAATTGGATGAAATTAAATATTTATTTCAAGATCAACGGGTGTACAGAATCTCGGTGTTATGGTCGTCGCTTCACCCTTGGGATAAAATACTTCTGAGCGATGGGAGATATATAGGGCTACAGTGGGGATAATATATTGTTCCTTGATCTTATAATTGCTATAATAATAGTTCATTGTGACGTGACAGATACTAGGTAATATGTCGTATCATATTCTTGTATTTTTATGTATATATTTAAAAATAATGATTTGAATTATTTCATGGAAAAATACATTCGAGTGTATTCTGGTATGGAAATTACGTCTAATTTAAAATAGGTATTAGTTAAACATAGTTGTCTATAACTTTTAAATTTTAATAAATTACAAAATTGCATTTGTATAAATTGTTTTTGGTAATTATGTTAAATACTAATTTCAGCTTTAATAGTATAAGCTAAAAAATGTTAAGATTGCAAACATAAATACAAAAAATAGAATTTAATTTATAAAAAAGAAATGTATATATATATATATATATATATATATATATTACATACAAATTATTATTAATTGTGTTAAAATTCATAACAAAATAATAAAAACGAAATAATACTTAAAATATTTAAACATTTTAAACTTAATAATTTATCAACCACAAATGTATGTTAAAAAATTATTAATAATCATGTGTTTTTACATATTTTAAAGATACAAATACAATCGTATTAAATAATATTTATGTTTGTATCTTTAATAATTATATTATATATACACAGCGGTCGACTATAATTCTTTTTCGCAAACTTGTATACAAATCTCTCATATGAACGTGTACAGTGCTACTGTGTAAATGAACCATAGTTTTATTGATCGATTCATAAAGTAAATAGTTTAGGTTTCTTTCAATTACGTAGGTATGCGAGTAAATATACCAGTAGTGTACTAGCAGTATTATATATTATACTATATGATTAAATCGACATAATAATACTAAATAATTTGGTTTTATCTATAGCTATAAAATTATGTTTAATATTTTAAATATTCATAGATATATAAGTATAATATTTCAATGTAATGGTGATTTCGTCGTCGTTTACAGGTCACGAGAGAGGTCGTGGGATTAAAAACCATAAACACAAAATGTATACATGTATATATATATATGCAATATACATAGTGTGTGTATTAAGTTTTTCGACGCTATTTACTATTTAGAAAACCGTATGATATAATAACCAGCTATACGAAACAAAAAATAAAGAAAGAAGATGAACAAAAATCACGTTCATTGTGTAATGTGTTTGTACCCATCATTCGTCATCCGCCCATCCACCAGGCTCATATAATTAATAATAATAATATGTAGAACTCAAAACTTTATTCTATGCCGTGTGAATAATATATATATATATATATATATATATATATATATATATATATATATATATATGATTGTGATTATTTAATATTCCAACGTTAGATGTTAAAAGGTATCTGAATGGAATTATTAAACGGTGACGAATACATGAATATAGATAGGCGTATTGCAGATATATCTATAATAAATATATTATGTTATGAGAGGACAACAGGATCCCGATTTTCGGTTATAAAAATTTAGCTTCGTATTTCGTGAATTAATACGTGAACCAATACCACCCCCTAAAACATAAGTAACCATATATATACATATAATTGAAACTACGCATAAACGCAGAAGGGTTAGGTTTTCAAAAAAATGACCTAACTTACAAATTTAATAGTTATTTCAAAGTTTTCCATGTGATATACAAAAAATTATATTCAGATTTGTACATAGAAATTCAATTTATATTAAAAAAATTATCAACCATCAATATTTAAGTGTGCTTTTTTTTCATTAAATCTGAAATACTTTTTACATATTCGAGAATATCTGAAAAATCTACATTTTCCAAAATATCTCGCTCAATAGACATCAACATAAATATTTCTAAATGATCCTGCCCCAAAGATGATCGATCTTAGTCTCAGTCTGTTTTTTAATTATTTTTAATTTGCTAAATGACCTCTCTCATTTTACCTGAGTGTCCGACAGAGTTAAAATGTATTCATACACGGAGTATAAGTTACTGAATGTAGAAGAGTAGTGCATATTTAAAGAATTTAGCAGTTTATGAACACATATTAAACAACGATCTTCATTGTGATAGACATTTATTACATTCTGAAATAAATATGGTTTAATAAAATTGCATTACATTTTAATATATAAATAACTAAAAGGTATTATTATATATTTTATAAGAATTATAAATGTATATACGATGTACTTACCATTTGATATTGTGAGGTATTTTTACTATTGTATTGATAATTCATGTCATAGTCATAATTCACACTCGTATTAAAAACAAAATCATCTTTATCACTTTTAATACTAATTTCAAGTGTTTTATAAATGGTTTTTGTTCTTTTATTTAACAAGCCTAAAATATATTCATAGATATTTGAAAATGATTGTAGTTTGGAAATTAATTTCTGGTAGTCGATACCAACCAAATCAGATAAAGTGCTTAAACAATATTCCGGATATACATAAGCGGAAATTTGGTGAAATTAGTGGAGGGGGACTGAGCATTATTTGCTTATTACACCTATAGGTACCCCTATACGCAATTATTTATTTCAACAAAACAATTTATAAAGTTTGTCATTTAGACATAATCAACAATTTAACCAAAAAAACAATTAGGTGCCTTATCTTACACAATTTTGGAGTAGGTATTCTAAAAAGAAATTATTAAATAATTAAATTAAACAACCAATGCGGGTATTATTACATATTATTAATATTACATTAATTTCGATCGTTCCAAGTCATGACAATAAGTTTGTAAAATCTTAGGAATTTGATTTAATTTATATCACAGAATATTTTTTTTTTAATTCAGTTATTAAAAATGCATTTTACAATTATAATAATTATTGTATTTTTAGTCACTTTACAATTTTTAGGGTTAGGGGTACTAAGACCTGTACTTTACATTTCTGGGGGCTTAGTCCTCTCAAGCCCCCCCCCCCCCGATTTCCGCCTATGCGGATATAGTTGACTTTTAAAAGGTTTTTGGAATTAGGTATCTGCTATAATGTGCATATTAGTTGAAAAACGATTTGTCAAGTTGCTGATTAGTTGATTAACAACACATTGAAACATTTCTATACGAATTTTATCTACAAAATTGCATTTGTTAATTCATCAGCACAATTTTCATTTTTTTTTTTTTTGCGTATTTATGAGGTGCGTGAAGTTAGCGGAAAAATTCGAGCACTAATTTCCGCTACTACATCAGTATTTAGTGCTCAATTAGTGCTGTTGAATGGTGCCATTTTCAAAATTAGTGCCAAGACCAATAAAAAGTTACGAGGGGGCTTACCTTTCTCCGCTAACTTCACGTAGCGGGCTGACTATCAGCACCAAAATCCGCTATAATACCAATATTTAGTGCTCAATTAGTGCTGTTTAATGGTGCCATTTTCAAAATTAGTGCCAAGACCAATAAAAAGTTACGGGGGGGCTTACCTTTCCCTGCTAACTTCACGTAGCGGACTGACTATCAGCAAAAAGTTGTACAAAAAATTGTACGGACCACTGTATATTTTGTCTTTCTCGTGTTCAACGGATATCAATAAATTATTTCCCAATGAATTTCTCAATTGTAATTTTAGACACGCCTATGTGTGATCCATACTTTCTACGAAGTATTAACTTATTACAATGTCATACCAACCGGCAACTAATAGTAGTAGTTTTAAACTGTTTGGTATTTAAAATTTAAAAATATATTTATTAGTAATATACTAATATCGTCAATTAATATTCGTTATACCTCGACGGTCCATATATTGAGCCGGCCGGCCGGCTGCCCTGTGTCATACCATATTTAATACTTTACTCTATGATTTCTGTCCTTTTATGTGACAGAAGTGCTATTTCAGTTTTTTTTAAGGGTGTGCAAATAATTTAAGAATTTCAATTTTTTTCCCATTACCGTTAAAAAACATTTCTTGTATTTTCACTATAGAATTTTTCAATCTAAAACGTATTACTGTGCACAGACCTTTCAATATCCATTATCTATCGCAGAAAAAATGTTATTTCTATCGCGTAAAGAACTATTTATTTACTATTTATGTTATTAATTTTATTTGAGATAAATAAAATATTATTATAATCAGTCCCTATTTTTTAGTGAACCCCGAAACAAAGTGTGTAGTCCGAAATTGCAAGTGTGCACTACGGGATTCGAGAAGTGTGTACTTACTAAATACTAATAAATAAGACTATTATGAAGGTGTTTTTCGGGAAGTTAGTTTAAGTAAGATAGCTGATGAGGACTTAAATATATCTATTATATTTTAAGTTATATATCGCACTTTAAAATAAATAATTTGTAAACAGTTTTCAGATTTAAACCAGACAAAAGTATATTTTCAGTTTAAAAAATAATATCAGATTGGTTTTTAGTTTAATTATAATGTATAATGTGCAATTCGATTAAAAAGAAAAACTATTATTAAAAATTATAATCATATGGAAGGGGGTAGAGAGGAGCTTTGTATCATATGTTAAAGATGTGTAGTACAAATTTTGATGAAAAGTAAGGACTGATTATAATAATTTATAATTGTTTATAAAAATGATTCATAATTTTAAAAATCAATTATTTAAAGCTGAAGCCCAATGCCATAATAGGTATTAATTAACTATAAATGCCTTGGCCAATTGTAGATAAAAAATTTTCAAGGTGTGTGGGCCTAAACCCTCCTTCCCCCAAATGGTGCCCCTCGTAATTGAAAAACCGAAAGGCGGAAAGACAAAACTCCTTCTTGATTGGTTCATATTGAAACTTAAAAGACTTTTATTTGATAAGTTATCAATTATCAGTGATAGCTTATCTGTAATTTAAAATGTTTTATTATCAAAATGAATTGTATTTGATATTTTTATTTAGTTTTTAGATTTTGATTGTTTACAGTTTTCTGAGTTCTTCAATTTTTCAATTACAATTTTTTCATTTTTTATTGGATTTTAAGTTTTATACGCTGAATATAGGTTACCCTTAAGAAATACAATCATTTTTTTAGTGTCCAGGTTGAAGTTTATTTAATTGACAAAATGTTACCTAATGTAAAACATGTTATCTTAGTGATGTCCGGTAAAGGAGGTGTTGGAAAATCGACCGTGAGCACACAGTTAGCACTAGGATTAGTAACCAAAGGATTTCGAGTGAGATTATTGTTATAATATTTTACCATTGATGAATTTCTGGTTAATATTCGACAGAATTGTCAAATAAGAATTCAATTTTGATGTTATATTACTAATTAAAGAATATTGTAGTTTAGGACCGTTTGTTTAGAATTGTTTTTATTGACTTACAGCCAGTAAATATATATATGTATTATGTAGTTTCAAGAATATAATAATTTGCTATTTAATTTATAATTTGTTTACCTATCTATCTCTGTAGATCTATAACATCATGACATATTTTTATTTAAATTTGCAGATTAATGTTTACGATATTTTAAAAAGTTCTTCTAAATTTATGGTGTATAAGATTTTAATAATTTTATTTCTTGACTTTTCATACTCCAGATTGAAACTGGTATACTAATCAATTTGATTCATTAAAATTAATTTTTCTCTAATATTTTAGGTTGGCATATTAGATGTAGATTTATGTGGCCCATCAGTGCCATATTTGTTAAAACTTGAAAATCAAGAGGTACATCAATGTGCAGCTGGTTGGGTACCTGTTTATACCGACGAGTCAAAGTCATTAGGTGTGCTTTCAATTGGATTCTTGACCAAGTCAAGAAATGATAGTATAGTTTGGAGAGGACCTAAAAAGACTGGTTTGTCATTTCAAGTTATTAATATAATATTTAATTCACATATTTTTCAATAATATTTTTGTATTTATATTAAAACAGCATTCATAAAACAATTGCTTTCTGATGTATTTTGGGAACATGTTGATTATCTTATTATAGATACACCTCCTGGTACATCTGATGAACACATTACAGTTATGGAAAATATTAAGTAATATAGTTGATTAGTTTGTTATTTATGAATGCGTTGACAATTTTATATTTTTTATATTTTTAGAGAAACTTCATGTGATGGAGCTATACTTGTGACAACACCACAACAAATTGCTCTAGATGATGTTAGAAAAGAATTGTCATTTTGTCGTAAGACAAATATTCCGATTCTAGGCATCATTGAAAATATGAGCGGTTATGTTTGTCCTAATTGTACAGTAAGTTAATTTTTTTTTTGTAATTATATAAAAACAGAAATTTAAAGTATTAAAAATATTAAAATCTTCAGTTTTTAAGAGTAGAACAAATAAAACTTGAGTATTTAGGTTATAAACTAAAATAATTGTTTTTAAATTTATATTATGAGGCAAGACTATTGATTCATCAATATTTATTGTTTTATTTAGAAATTCTATAAGATAAAGCTAAATTATTAATACAATTTTCATGAATGTGTTCTTATAATATTATTGAGATTAAATAAAATAATATATAAATAAATAATCAAATATAATTTTTATAGAAACAAATAAATAAATAAAAGCTTAGCCGGGAGTATCATAATATTTCTAATGTACAACCAATTTCAAATTAATAATTCATCATCAGGTATATACAAAGTTAAAAAAAATTGGCACTGAATATGAAAAAATAAAATTGCAACTCACTTAGTTTAAAATGTATGTTTCTTAATATATCTATATCCAACAATAATTCATTTGAAATAATTTCTCCTATTAAAATAAACATTCTCTGTATTGAACAACCAATTTTTATCAATGTTTAATAATTTAATTTTGCTTTATTTTTTGATATTCAGTCGCAATTTTATTAACTTTATACCTATACTCTATGAGTTTTTAATTTGAAATCAGTACTTAGTACTTTACAAATATAATAATTCTCAAGCTTAAGCTTTTGTTTATTTATATATTAAGTAATCTTATAATAATTTATAATTTTTATATTATTTTTTATTATTTAATTATTTAAATCAAATAATTTATTCATGAACTTAATTTAAAACATTACCAATGAAGTGAGCAATCACTATTAAAATATAAGTCTTTAAAATTTTTCTATATTTATAACATTATAATATAAAACTAAGTACCAAATGTAGTTATAACTACATTAAATGGCCTTGCAATTATGTAGATACAAATAGAACTACATTTTTTAGTAATAAAACTGAACTTAAAAATTAATATTTTCTCTTCTAATTTTAAAAAATTAAATTTTATTCTAAATTTAATAAATATATATTTTTAATCAATCTTATTGTATGAAAAACAATCTCTTCAATATTAAATAATTTTTAATTATTTAAATTATTGTTTCATTTATAAAACAACCAAAATAATTAAGTTATTTTTATAAATTTACATTTATTTGTTTTTATTATACAGGAGTGTACAAATTTGTTTTCATCAAATGGCGGAAAATCATTAGCTGAATATTTTCAAATTCCTCTTTTAGGAACAATACCAATAGATCCAAGAATATCTTCAGAAACATCAAAATACGTTGGTTCAATCCATCCTGAATCACCTGTAGCAATATCATTTAACTCAATTTTAGGCCAAATAATAAACCCAAACTAATTAACTTAAAACCATTCATATAAATAATATATTATTTTATCATATATTGTTAATAATACATTCTATCATATACTTATTCTTACGTCTTATTAATATTGGTTTTTTATTCTATGGAAACTTTTTTTTCCAATTCTTCTACTTGTTTTTTAGATTCGTCAAGCTCGACCAATGGTTCTACATTTCCAAGTGGTGATTTACTTGTAAATAAAATTGGTATACTTGATAGTTTTGGATTTCCATCTTTTTCCAATAATCGTATCTGTGATATAAAAATACATACATCAAAATGTTCAAGATAAATTATTTTGTAAACATTGCATACCCAAGATAGTAAAGAGTTTTTACTGGATGTGCCAGTTGCAGCTACAGCAAGTATTGTACCATCTTCTTGTTCATGTAAAGTCTTTTTTCTGACAATTTTATTACTTGTTTTTGGTTTATCAAAAAAAGGTACTTGAAAATTACTAACATCTACAAAAAAAATTAAGAATAAATAAATTAAAATAATGGATAATAAAATTAATATACGTTACCATCTTCATCTTCTTTTTCATTTTCTTTTGATTGTGTTGGTTCAGTTCGCAGAATAAAATAAATAATGCTTTGTTTCCTTAACCATATTCTAAATCCACCTTCAATATAAATAGGAACATTTTCTGGATGATTGGCAACTAATTTTTTTTGGTCAGGACTTTGACCACTGACTATCCATGTATCTTCTATACTTTCTTCCAAAAGCTTAGTCTCGTAAACCTTAACCTCTGATTCAATATCTATACTGCAAATCCTTTTAATAGCTAATAACGCTAATTCATAAGGATCATTAGGAGCTGGTTTAGGTATAGGCCAAGGAGATAAGTTATTAAATTTTGGCATCCAGTACATCATGCGCCAATAACGTCGCACAGGAATACCTCGAGTACCAAAACGTTTAACAAGCAAGTCTTCTATCTCCCAATCGGGGATAACTCCTAAAAATATTATAATGTAGGAATTAAATAAAATGATAAATTTTCCCAATAAAATAAATTGTTACCATTATCTTCCATTTTTTGTAATAAATCAACAATACATTGTTGATGTTTTGGATAATGCATAAATTCCGACTGTAAATAGTTTTGAGGAACAAATTTGCCAGCTGGCAAAACTTGTATAAGTCTTTTGTACGTTTCTAAATCTTCATTTACGCCAAATTCATCCATATGTTTGATTGCAGTATTAATGAACTCGACGTGACCCGATCGAAATTTTTCCATTCTGTACATTTTCAGCATATCCAAGAATGTCTGCTTATTTTTCTCTTGTACATTATTGAAACTGTCAACACTTATCACTTCTACTTTGGGATTTTTATCAAAACATGAGTTTGTACAGTGAAATTCTCGTTCGACAAATTGTGCAGATTGTCTATTCACTTTGATATACCGTGACACTGAAACAATACCCCTACACGTCCTTAGCACATTGTTCATTTTTCCGTACTTAACTTATTTGATTATTATGCAGATTAACTGTTCATAACATTTACATATCGCGGTTTTCAAACAAATTAATAATTTTCAATCACTTTCGTAACTTAAACCCGAACGTTTTTTTTTTTTTTCGTGCACCTCCGAATGCCGATTATCATTACACACACATGTAATACGCACAAAGGTTAGGCAGAACAGATAACATGAGAATCTTTATCTCGTGAGTTGTTTATTATCAAAATTGATACTGGTTATCGACCTGTTATCAACACTTTTCGTTCTCTGCACGACGAATTGCTATTATAGCAGGAACGATTTTTGTAGAATCCATTACACTACCTATTTACGATGAACACGAATTGGTGGCAGAGGCATAATTAGGGGGGGATTAGGGGAATGGATCCCCCCCAAAACTTTTTTTATGTAATTTTTTTTTTTTATTTATTATATTGTGATTATATGATTATTATCATTATTATTATTACGATTATTATTATTAAAATTTAAATTATTTAAAATTTTGTTCTGGTAGGGTGGGGGGGATTACTGTATGAGGTGTACAGATTTTGCTAAAACCTATAATTCCCCCCCCCCCCCCCCCCCCCCCCTCCCCACCACGCCCCCCCCCGGAGGCTGCCTATATTTCGAAATTTTTTTGTTTTTTGACGTGTAATGTGTTTTGGAGTAATATCGTACACGTTTATGTTCAGCTCTTTTCTAATTTTAATTAAAAATTATTTTTTTTTTTAAATAAAGTACTATAAATGTAATTGAATTTACAAAAACAATGATTTATATTCGAAAGTACTGCACTTTTATTAAATTAGAAATATTTGAAAAAAAGAAGATCAGTAGTAAATTCAATTAGTTATAAGGACAGACTTGTTTTTGGTGAATTCTATCATTCAGTGGCGTCGAATCCTACGTTCAGGTCGGACCACGGCATGAACTCATTTTTAAAATGGGTTGGGGATCAGAGGAACCGATCTATGGTTTGCAATATTCTGACCTCGCGATTATGCTCCCGAGGAATGCTGGATGGAGTCTGTCGAATCGGTACGGAATGCAAAGGAAACGTTCAAATGTGAATTACCTAAATACACACAATATATTATTTTGCGAAACGGTACGGTACGGTGTCTGTCGGTTCATGTCTGACTAGTATGAATCATGCTTAATACTTGTAATTTGAGAGTACAAATTATTTTTCTATGCAAAGTAAAGATGTAGGCTTATGGTCTCTGGGGTGCTTGAGACTGTTTCTAACTAATACTAAAAAAAATATTTTGGATGACTAACAATTAGACCAGTGGTTTTTAACCGGTATGACATGCAGTGTAGGGTTGACACGAAATCTCCACGGGAAAATAAAATAAATATGAAAATAATTAATTTTAATAAAATCATATTATTACCACAACTGTCATGTAAGTAGCATACCTTTAAGTTTATATCATTATATTATTTATATTTATTATTTAGATCTGATAAACATGTTCAGTATTATTAACGCAAAATCGTTGCATTATCAACTTAACCGATGTTTTTTAGTCAGTTATTTTTCAGTTGCTCGATATGTAGTATTATTATAGTATATTATAGCTCTACAACTCCAGAAGACAATATGAGATTCAGTCTTTTCACCATCAGCCCTCGACTTCCTTAACTTTGTAAAAACCACTAGGGGCCAATTTTTTTATCAGTTTTTATACAAATCATTAATATTTTTTTTCTTTTTTTTTAAATTTAAAATTTAAATTTAATTTAAACTCAAATAAATTTAAACTTAAAAATGTCAATGTTTATTGAACCTTGCAACTCAATAAATTGTAGGCGTACTTATTATTTTTCTGTGTTCTGTATTTTTTTTTTTGTTATTTCAAGAATTATTCTAAAATAGGTACACAGTTAAGGTTATTTATTATTTTGATGTTAGAATGACACGGTGTTTGATTTTAGTGGCTAAAGGTGATATGAATGAGAAAAGGATGAGAATCACTGAATCAAACGCAAACTTGATATGTATTACAGCAAGCTTTGGAATTATTTCTAAAACGATTACCCAGCTTGAAAAACGTGGATTAAAAATAGTTAAATGGGTAGGATAAAGGCTACTGTTATCACAATCGGATTTTCTGGTAGCTCGCATTACTTTGTAGTCGTCGAAAAAAACTACCCGTAAAATAACTTTGTATTGTTGTACAATTTGAAAAAATATGCGCACGTGTTTAACATAAACAGTAATTAAAATTATTTAGAAATCATCATGTACACAGGATGCATTGCCAACCTGACAAAATTCCTTGCAGCGCCTATGCGAATAAGATGATTACAATGAAAAAAATTTAAGTTTCTCTCCATGAACCAAAAAATGCTGTTTAACACGAATTTCATAATATCATTTAAAAACAATT